GGCTCTCCTTCTATGGCACCATGTTGCACACTGGCATCCCTGACAGGCTGTATATGGTTAGGAGCTACGAGGGTTATAATCATATGTTTTTTGTCATTAATACTTTTAGTGAAAGTGAACACTTAATTCCTCCCCATTGCCTCAGCAAAGGATAAAAAGGATAAAAGGCAAGACATTCAGGCCTTCTGCAAACTCTACCTTTGTTTCATCTGGACCCATGGCAGGAGCCAGTGCAGAAGGAAGCCAGATATGGTCAAATGATCATTCACCTCCACAAACAGAAGAGTTAACCTGCCAGTTTCATGGCAGAAGTTACATGACTCCTGGCTCAGACAAAAACTTTATCACTCATGGCACATCAGGCAAATAAGTTTCATGTTCCCATCAGTTCCCTATCCCTCCCCTCCTCACGTCACGTGGGGGTGACACAGAGGTAAGGAGGGGTGGGTGCGCACATTCCGTGGATTGGCATCGCATGGGAAGGACCCCAAATTTAGGGAATTGCAATCTGTTACCAAAGACTGCAAACCATGTTCCCAAGCATCTCCCAAGATGGAAACATCAGCTTTGTTATGGCGGACATCCAATATCCTAGCCTCAGCTGCCTCTCCAGCCTCTGCCCCCTCTCTGCTTTCTAAGGCTGCTCGCTCTCTACTCTTGAAAAGATAGTCCAGAACAAAGGACTGTAAGCATATCTGCTCAAAAGACTTTCATTGATATAAAAAAGATCAATGGAGAGTTGCTTCTTAGCCAAGAGCTAGCCACATAGAGGAGACCTCACAAGTATATGCCATGTGGTAAAAAGAGTTCTCAGTAAGAAAAATAAAAGGTGGTAAGATGCCTCTTCCTCCTGGAAGACATCTTCCTTTTCTTCCTTTTTTTTGTCTTCTTTCTATCCTCTTCTTTGGGGGGGAAAAAAGTCACCCTGTTCTTTCTTTCCATGGGGTTAATAGTATCACAGGACCTCCTGCTCAAGAGGCAGCTCAGACTTTGAAAGGCTTTTGAATCCACTGTGGGGCTCAAAGGAGAAGCTGTATAGAGCAGCCAGTGTCGCTTTTCTGATTCTTTAACCACCGAAGAGAAGGGCTTTCTTTTCTGCAGGATCATCATTCAAGGACTCTAGTCACTGCCACAGGACTAAGACCAAGAATTCAGGATTCCCATATAGGTTGAGATGAAAAAGACCAACCAAGAAGGACATTGAGCTGCCTCTGGCATAGAAATTGTGCTAAAGGATTAACCAAACGTTACTAATGATCCAAAATGGGAAATAGAGATTGAGACCAATGCCCTAGCCAGTAATAAAGTAGAATTTTCCTGGAATGACCTCTATGCTTGTATGCCTCAGGGAGCAGAGGTAACAGCAGGCAGCTGGTGGCCAGCTGGAAGATTCAGATCCCCAGTCACACCCTGCTGGGACTAAAGCTCTCATGGTCCCCATTCCAGCACCACACTGGGACGTCCACGCACAATATTTGCCTACTTGCCTAATTCATTGCCACACCAGTTCTTCATAAACATGTCACTTTCACATGTTTGAAAACTTCTAGGAAACTCCTGTCTGCCATTGTCTCAAGTCTAAATTCTACTACCCAGTTTCTAAGGAACACACTAGTATGTAATAAGTGAATCAATTTTTTAAAACTTTCTTCTAGGAGCTGATTGCCAAATTTCACTAATTCCTCCCAGACAGAAATAGGACTTAATTTTAGATCAACTAAATGGAGAGTGTGGTTACTCAGGGTTACCCCCAAATTCTAACCCATCAATGGTGCTTTCTTTTATTGCCTTTGATTTCATCTGTACAAACTCTTAATGCCCTTAGAGGTTGCATCCCAGTCTATTACCTGGTTCCATGCTGTTTTGTACAGGACAGGTCCCCATTATATAGCCCCCCAGAGTCTCTGTTGATTATAAAATTGTGCAGGAACGCAGATTACATCATAACATAAAACTATTCACTTAGGATCACATACAAATATAATTTCCAAAGGATATACTCCAAATCCATAAAAGTGATTACTTCTGATAAGAGGTGAAAGGGAATGGGATGGAAATGGTGATGAAATGGGCCTTCAGCTTTATTTGTAATAGTGTTTTGAAAGAAGAATGTGTTCGTGTTGAGGTAGATTGTTTCCAGATATCTCGAAGGATGCTACCCTCTCTTTTGGGACTTTGCTGCTCCTTTCATGGAGAGGGAGACTCTATGTTGCCTCCTCAAATCCGAGCTTAGCCTGCAAGCTGCTTGTGATGGAAGTGACAGGGGAGAGCGCCACTTGTCTTCAGGGATCCTGAAGCTTTTGCTTCCAAGCCCTCGAAATCCTGAGACACCATGTGAAGAACGTTGGCTTCCCGTACTAGAAAGATCAGAGGGCAGTTCCTTGAGACTAAAGATGGAGGAGAGAGAAATCCCAGTGATGTCCTCAGTCCAGCTAAGAAGCCAGACGTGTGCCTGAGACTGTTCTGGAATCCGTTGTAGGTGAACGCGCCTGCCTAGCAGAGGTGATCCCTCCAAACGGAACCCTGCTGAGCCAATCACGGAATCATGCGTCAACACAGCTCGACTGTTGTTGTTTTCAGTCACGGAGTTTCGGGCTGGTTTGTTACACAGCAATAGACAACGGTTCTGTTACTTGAGTTATTCAAAATTACCTTTAAAACATAAATAAGGCCACATGCAAACCTTTCTTCCTGACAACGAGCTTCTCTCCTTCTCACCACCACTGCATGCCTGCAGTGTCTCTCCTCATCTCACTGACAGCGCAGCACCCGACACGGCAATGCGAAATCCATGCAAATCCATGCAAAATCAGGGCCAAGTGATTTTGATGTGAAATTGAAAATCTTTCAAAATATGTAAGAAATCATGAAGTTGATGAAGGTAATGTTAAAGAAACCCTTGAGTCATGGACGACATCACCTCTGACAAATGAGGATCTGCAGCTGGAATGGTTAGCATTCAAAGAAGAAAAACTCCACGCAGACGATGGCACAATAAGTGCTTCAAAGGGAATGATGTGACTGTCAGAGATGAAGAGAGGCTCTTGGGAAACTGATGAAGCCCTCAAATATTTCTGCAATAATGACCCTTTTTATGATTTGCCCGCAGAAGTCAAATGTGAAAGGACATTGTATCACGATACCATGTCATCTTGTTAGAAAATTATGCTTCTCAAAATCAACACTCGAGTCATCCTTTGTTCTAATAGTTAACACATCACTGGCCAACTAAATTTTGTTAAATTTAGGGTAAATTCATTTAAATAATTTTCTTACATTGTTTAAAGATCAAGTCCCAACCAAATCTTTTCAGTTTTTTAAAAGATTTTATTTATTTATTCATTTATTTATTTATTTATTTGAGAGAGAGAGAGAGAGAGAACGTGTGAGAATGAGCAGGGGGTAGGGGGGTGGAGGGAGAGGCGGACTCTGGTGAGAAGGGGGGGGCCTGAGGCGGGGCTCCATCCAAGGACTCCGAGATCATGACCTGAGCTGAAGGCAGATACTTAATCGACTGAGCCACCCAGGTATCCCCAAATCTTTTCACTTTCGTTGTCCCCATTTTAACAGATTCATTTTAAGTGGACTTGGGGTACCAGTCATCTGAGGAAATTAGGGTCTCTGTAAACATCCTCGATTCATCTCCCTGGCTAGCAGGTGCAGTCTGAGATCATGCTTCGCTAATGTCCCCTGGCTAGTTCGTCCAACCCAGGACTAAGCAGATAGTGGGGACTCACAGATTCCGCAAATGTGACAAATGACCCGCTGATTGACCGGCTTACGTGTAGGTTTTTGCTGGCCAAGGACGGTGTTTCTCCATTATCCCTCCCTGATCCGACAGGAGCCGGCATCTGTTCTCTCCGAACGGTTCCGAGAAGGCCCATTACAAACTTCCTGCTGAAACACTCCGAAAGGCTGGATACATTTAAAACCAATTCAAGCATGTAAAGTCGTTTTAGGAAATAAGCCCCGCATCCCAAGGGCTCCGCCGAGGAGGGCCGTGTCTCAGAACAGGTGTGCCACTTCACTGAACAGGAATTTGGAAATGTCAAACGTTAGAGGCACTTCAGAAACCCCGACTCAGCCGGCCCGACACTTACACTTGCGGCACGTGTCAATAAATGACGCGCAGAGCTAGGTATTTGAGAAACTCTCTCGGCACAGATTCAGAATTAGCTGAGCCAAATCAGCATGGTAGGTTCTTAAAGAGACTACACTTTTTTTGGTTTTTCCTTTTTCGATTTCAAAAAGAAACTCTGTATTTTAGAAAACGGTCATTCCAAACCTCACCTTCTATTACGTGACCGGCACACATCAGCGGCACACGTTTTCACATTCCTGAAACTCAGGCTCTTTCGACTTATGCTGCACCCCCAGTCGCAAGAGTCGTAAGCACTGGGCTGTCTTTTCTCATCGTTCTCGGGGTGGCTTCTGTTACTTTGGAAATTAAAAACTCACAAGACCAGCTTGGCAGCAAGTACCCTTTTCAACGGAGCCCCTCCCAGTGCAACACGTTCCTCCTGCCGCCCCTCATCCTTCTAGGGCAAAGGCAAACAATACTTTCCGTTGCAATAACCTGTATCCAGGAAAACACACACACGCACACACACACCCGTAGCATAGCAGCCAGAGAAAAGTTTATGAGCTCTAGCCAACTGCAGGCCGGGGAGCGAAGCCAAATTCGCATGTTTCTCTCCGCCTCTGGATGAAGTCATGGTTGAAACATGGCCCTGAACTTCTGCTACAAAGGGATAGAGACGGAGGAAAGAAAACCTGCAGGAAAAAGCCCGGGGCCAAGGAGCACGGGGTCAGGAAGTGTGCGGCCGTTTCTGCACCCTGAGTGGTTGTCGGGTCTGTGAGCTTCGCCTCCCACTGGGTGGAGTCCGGCTTTTAAGAGCGGCTGGAATGCAGTTCCCCTGGTCCGTGGAGCCGTCGGTGCGTGTGACCCTCGGCCGGTCCCGGAGAGCCGGGCTCTGAGCGCAGAGCCGCGGTTAGCTCCCATCCTTCCCGCCCGGGAGCACCTCCCCACCTGCCCAGCCATGGGGGAGGACCTCGCCCAAGCCGAGAAGCTGCAGCACCTGGGCTCTGGCACGTGGCAGGAGAAGCCAGCCAGCCCCAGCCTAGCGCCCTCCTCCACGCCGAGCCCCAGCCTGAACCTGGGGAGCACGGAGGAGGCCCTCCGGGACAGCGCGCAGGTGAACGCCGTCACGGTGCTCACGCTGCTGGACAAGCTGGTGCACATGCTGGACGAGGTGCAGGAGAACCAGCACCACATGGAGCAGCGGCAGATCAGCCTGGAGGGCTCCGTGAAGGGCATCCAGAACGACCTCACCAAGCTCTCCAAGTACCAGGCCTCCACCGGCAACACGGTGAGCAAGCTGCTGGAGAAGTCGCGCAAGGTCAGCGCGCACACCCGGGCGGTCAAGGAGCGCATGGACCGGCAGAGCGCGCAGGTGAGGCAGCTGGAGGCCAACCACGCCCAGCTGCTCCGGCGCAACCACTTCAAGGTGCTCATCTTCCAGGTCAGTGACCCCCCCACGCCTCCCCCTACGCAGCTGGGGCCCCTCCGCCCTCATGATCTCAGCCCGCCTGGCCCTCCCGGCCATTTGGGCATCTGTCCTGCCTGTCGGGGACCACGCACACGCAGCATTGTCCCCGTCCGCCTTCAGCAGGAGGCGGCGGGATCGGCGCGGGGGTGCGACCTCTCGGGTCACCGCAGCCTCAACCCACGGCGGACGCCCAGGGTCCGCAGGCCAGGGTCGTGCGTTAGGGAGCACCTGGAGGCAGTCCGCGGTTAGGAGGGGAGCAGGTGCACGCACCCTGGTCACATTCGTTGGTCTCTGCGCTCCGACTGCAGCTGTTAGCCGGGAAGGGCACGTTCATTCCGTGGCTGTTGATTAACTCTTTGTGGAAATGAGACAATCGTGCGAGCTGGTTTTTTCATCACGTCAAATTCATGACTGTGTTAAGTGTGTCTTAGTGGAGAAGACACCTGTGTGTGGGGGCCTAACCAAGTATTGAAGACGGATTCCCTCAGAGTTGAGCTAGTCTCTTCCTTGAAGATTCTTTTGGCCAAAGCAGTCTTTGTTGAGTTATTTTTCTAGCCAATGATGCACTAAGAATACAGAGTGTAACTCTTCCCGAGCGCGCCAGGTGGGCTTGTTTTGGCCCAGGGAAACCACAACAGTAAGGTAAAACAGAAGCAGTGTTCCCAGCCACAGTCACGGAGGCTCGTCTTGAGTATTTTCTCCTGTAAATGGTTGCCTTAGAATAAAAAGGCCACTTAATTTTTTTAATGCATCAATGATGCAATTAATGTAGCAAGAGGGTATCTGGGGACAGGGAGATTGCGTGGGGCTGTTGTTCAGCCAAGTGGTGGGCATTTGTGAGTCCCGGGGCAGCCCTGCCTAATGCTGGAAGCCCTTCCGCCCGGTGGAACGCAGCCAACGCAGAGCCCAGGAAGCAGTTGCCATCCCTGCCCCAGGGCTGTCTCCTTGTGACCATGTGAATAGGAGAGGGTTTCAGAGCCATGGAGGGGAGAGGCTATAACCAACTGTTTGATTGTGAAAGGCTCACAAGAAGAGCCTTCATCTCCCAAGGGAGATTTAGAAATTGGAATTTAACCGAGGGAGCCTTCTTTTTTCTAAATGAATCTGCTCTGCCAAGTTAGAACCTAAGCCTCCTTCCCTCCATAAAAGGACTCATCCTGCTGCTTTTTTGTCCTCCCCAAATGCACTTGATGTAAAGCTTCAGGCGTTGATGGCCTCCTATACCTCGCAGGCTCTCGCAGCCTAGACATGTTTTAGCTTTTCATGCACCAGATGAACTGAAAAGAGATATGGTGACTGCGCCTTTCTTAAGCCATGTAAGATCCTTACTTTATTAGCCTAAAAGATATTAGAAATCTCAGCTCTCAAGGCATTTCTAAATTAAATACTGATCTCCAAACAAAACCAAACATGTACAGACATGTTTAAATCTGAGTCGTCAGAGGAAATGTTCCTCCTTCCCGTGGGAATCAGGGAGATCGTCTCTTGTCCTCTATCCCTCCGTTAAGGGGGCGGGAGGGAAGGACCTAGTAGGGGGAGATCATCATTTGTCAGGATCGGTTTACGTTTCCTTTTGCCATGGGCGTTCTGTAGATGTTGGGGGGCAGGGATGGAGAAGACACATGACTCAGAATTCAAGAGAACAATAAATCTGACATATAAAAAAAAAACAAAAACAACGGTTGGGGAACTTAAGGACTAGATCTGCTGTTGAGCCCTACCTCAGTCTTCAGTTTGGGACTGACAGGTGTGAAGCTGCAGCCAGAAATGGTAGCAGTTCTCCGGATGGTGAGTAGACGGTGAAACGGGGTGCGCCAGCGAGGTGGGCGCTTCCCAGAGAGCCCAGAGCAGCGTCTTCAGGCTCCGCGGTGCATGTTCTACTGAGCTGCCCGAAGGACACTCCTTTTTTTATTTTAGAAAGAGCAGTTTAGGAGTCAAGGAGCCGGACCTTTCTTCAACTATGGAAGACACTTTAATAGCCTGGAGGATATCCGAAGTCTCCACTCTCAAGATATGTAAGGTGATTATTTTGACAGACACAAGACAGGTGCAATCTCCTAGTGGACGAAGGGCCACTCTCTCTCTGAAAGCGGGGTGTCCAGGTCAGTGGCCGCGCCCGGGCCTGGGACATCGGCGTGTGCTGGAGAGTGCTCTGGGTTGGGGCTTGAGAAGCTCTATTTTGTCGGACGGACCCTGGTTCATACCCGAGTTTCGCCGCCTGCAGCTCCCGGATCTTGTGCACACTTCGCACCTCTCTAAGCTTCTGTTTACTCATCTGTACGCTGAGGCTGTTAATAGGAGCAAAACACTGTTGAGCTCTTTCCGTAAGCTCGGCATGCTCTACGTGTCTTTCTGCGTGTTATCTCATTTCCCCCAATTTACAGATGGGATGTGGAGTTTCAAAGACGTTTCTGTCTTGTTGATGTTATCTGGGAAGAAAAGAGCGTGGTGGGGTAGGCACGGCCACGTACCTCGTTGCGTGTGTGCTCTTCCGCGTGAAGGCTGCTTCCTGCCTGCCTCTCCTACGGGTGGGGAGTGAATGGAATAACCTTTTAAAATGGTTAGAGACTGGCATGGCGTCTCAAGGGACAGAAGCTCTTCTTGGGCCATCTGAAATGCATTTGCACAGAGTGGAGGCTACACTTCCACTTGGTTAGAAATGTGCCTCTTGAGTAACAAACGACCCCTCCCTACCGAAGACCTTAAAATGGCGAGGCTTACGCTTTTTAGTTGGGACATTGTATGACAGCTGTCATGTTGAAATCAGTATTATGTCCACAACACACCATGAGAGCAAAGGGCCAACCCAAAATAGAGCCGTCTCGTGGCAGGAGTCTTCACGGAGTGACAGCGGGTGGGTAAGAGAATGAGGCGGCAGATGATACACCAGGTACCGCCTCATAAGTAATTCGTCATTTTCAGTCCACTCAAATCCTATGCTAGACTTTGCTCGACTAAATCCATTGGTTTTCTAGTATAAAACAAACAAAAAATTTGATGTGAAAATTAAAAATAGAAAAAGAGAGAGGGAAGAAACTCCGTCACTTGCTTGAGCACATTTAGTACATAATGTCCAGACGATTAGGCTTCCAGTTTGCGAAGTCCTATTGTGTCCTCCAGAATCTGCAGGTGCTTTCCTGGTCGGTCACTCCGTTGGTTTGTCGACTAGGTACTTAGACGCTAGCACTCCTTTAAACTCCAAACTTTGTCCTTATTTTGTCCTGTTTAAAAAAACATTATTGGGCACTTGGGTGGCTCAGGTTGTTGAGCATCTGCATTTAGCTCAGGTTGTGAATTCGGGATCCTGGGATGGAGCCCTGTGTTGGGTTCCCTGCTCAGCAGGGAGACTGCTTCTCCCTCTCCCACAGTTCCTCCCCACTGCTCATGCGCTCTCTCTCGATCTCTCTCTCTCTCAATAAATAAAATCTTTAAAAAATAAAAATAAATAAAATATATAATCTATTTATTTACTTAAATGTCTGCTGAACTTACATCATTGTGGCGTTAAAGCCCCTCATGTCTTTGGCAATTACTTTAATTACAGTATCTAAAACTAGAGACTATTCCTCTCCCTTTGAGCAATGAAAAAAACAAAAAACAAAAAACGGTAAAATCCTTGTTATTTTTAGCAGCTTTTCTTCTTACACTATTTTATAATAGCTTCAGAACAATGTTTGAATTCAAAATACTGAGGACCCAGTATAAATGAAATAAGACTCAGAGGGATTGGTGATCAAAAAGCAAATGCTGAAGACTAATAAGACTAATGCTTTTTCTGGAAGTATGGCTATCTTTGCCTAAAAATAGCACTTACACAGAAAATCAGTGAATTTACTGTTAAAAAGGGAATTTTCTCTGTTGATTGAAGAGCCTAGAATCTCACAGGTAACTGGCCAGGAGGGTGTGGTGCCCACTTATGCCTTAAGGTTCTCGTAATGATTATCTGAAAAAGCAGTTTGGGAATGATTTCCAATCTAGGGAACAAAATGAGAGTACTCATGGACAGCTTACACTTTCATCCACATAAAATTGTGAAATTGGGTGAAAAGAGTAGAGGCTGGTGTTCACTGTAGGCACATTCATGGAGAATCGGGCCCATCAGCGTGTTCAAATATTCATTGTTTGGCTTCCTTCGATGAGATCAGAATTTGAGAAAAGTGCTAAAAGTGTAACATCTTCAGACTATTTTAAAGTTGAATTTTTTTTTTCAAAGATGGCACTTTCTCCACCCAAAGCCACTGCTCTGACAACCACTAAATTATTAAACCTGTAGAAGAAATGAGAATACGGAAAATCAAAGACCTGTTTAGGTGACAACTCGCCATGTTGATGTCACATTGATTAACATTCCCATAATGGGGTATTGGTTTTGATGCGAGGCTTACCCCGTTCCCTTTGAGTTTCTGAGGTAAACAAAATACTGGCTTCTGAGTGTTATTATTTGTACTTACGGAAGGTGAGCACTGCCTCAGGCATGTTAAGTGAATAACTGATTATTGTTTCTTCAGAAGAATCATTACTTTCTCTCATTTATTAAAAACTAGACTGTTTCTCAGATGCAGCCCTCCCGCGTGCACGCGGCCCCCTCCGTCGTTTTGCGATCTGGATCTGGTAGAACTGAGCAAGCGACAAACATTCTCCAGGGCAGCTCAGGTCCTAGAGCTGGGATTCTTGCATGAAACGAAACCTGTTTGGCGTTCGTACACTGGGAGAACGCTTCTGAAATTTGTTAATTATTTTTCATGGGATTTACATTCATATCAGAAAATCAAACGTCTTGGAGCTGGAAAGTACTTTAATAATCATTTGGTTTAACCTCATTTTATATCAAAGAAGCTAAGGCCCTGGGAAAGTGACTAACAAGGTTTCCTTTTCTTAATAATAGAAATTACAGAGCTGAATGGCAAAGTGAAGTAAAAACAAACACTGCAGTCCCACTACGGCAAAGTTCATGTTTACTGGGTTTTCTACACCAGCTTTTAAATAATTCAGAATGATTTGTTTTCCATTTTGTGGTGGGCGTGTGTGTGTGTAACAAAGAATACCTAACCAGTGTGATTTTTAAAAAGAATTGAACCCTTGATAACACTGAAAAATAATGAAACTTTTAAATCCTCCACAATGTGAAAGACTGCTCAGGGATTATAACTAATGCATTTTATTCTTATGACTTGCTGATTCTACCGACAGCTACCTTAGGGGTGCAGTTCTAATCAATGGCTTTATCCACTTGGCAATCTATACCTCAGAAACACAAATTGGAGAAAACCATCAATGTGTAAAGGAGACCTATAAATCAGAGTGTCAGGTGGGCATAGTTCCGTTTTAATAACTAGTATTTAGAGGTTATTGGATGAAGCATCCCATGGACTCAAATTTATGGTCCTCCTATCCCTTCAGGATGCCACCACATCCCTGTGGGATTGTGGCAGCCGTAGTTAATTTCTTCTAACAACAGGGATGAGAAGTTAGTGACAAAAGAACAGAGTGCTGGCTTTTCTCCCCTCGTTCAAGCTTTTTCTCTAGGCTTCCTTTTCCCATGCCAGTCACAGAATCTCCTTCTCTTTAAAAGTGTCTACTTCTGTATATGCCCAAAGATTTGCTTCCATGATCTCTAACCCAAGAGGTGCTTGGCAAGTTGGCAAGTTTCTCCATGTTGATATCTACATGCACAACCGGGATGGTTAGTTCCTGAGAATCAGTATAAATAGCAAACAAGCTGAAGTGGAAGTAAAAATGCCACTTCTCAGGAGTTCTTTCCATTCCTTTTCTCTTCCGTGCTGCAAGCACATCATTCATATATGTTTGAAGTGCGCTGTTTAATTCTCCCTTCCTTTGAAAAACTCCTAAGGGTTCTCGTGAAAGGTCAGAACCCAGAGCAGCTGCATTAGTGGCGGCTGAGTACCTTTTTGAAAATAAATCTGTAGGGCAAACAGTCAGCGGCTCTTGGGGCCTCTGCTAGACAGAAGTGCCCAAGAAAGCAATGCAGCCCACCAAGGATTCTTCACGCCACGTTAAGGAGTCACAAACCCAGAACAGATACATGCGTAAGTGCATAGTTAAGCAGTGATGGAGCTGGGGACGGGCGCTTGGCCCTTCCCCTGGAAGGAGCTGTCCGTACTGGAGTCTGTCCGAGAAGGCAGAGCAAAAACATGAGGACAGAAGGCTGAAGGGCAAGTGTCCCTTCACCTGTAGACAGGGAGCTATCACCAGATGTTTCCACAAGGTGTGTGTGAGAGGACCAAGCAATGGGCCATGTGCAGGGAAGACGGGGCACCCAGGGACAGCACCGTTCTAGAAAACCTCCTGTCTGAGATGCCGGTTGAGTTTCCACCATCGTAACAGCCCCTTCATGGTCCCGTACAGGTCCAGGTCTATGTTTTGTTTCACCAAAACAATAGAGATTTTGAGGGAGTGTCGGTATTTTCCCGCTTCTACAGACACAGGATGGAAAGGTAAGACCCGCGTGTGCTCAGACACCCGCAGATTCCTGTGGGAAGGGGAGGCGCTTGCCCTCACACTGGATGCCACAGGCGACCGCGGAATAAACCGCGTCTGGCAGACCGAACGCAGAACACCCCTCAAGGAATAACCGTGACAACGGAAGCTTAAAGCAGTTAGTCAAAAAGACATATCTCACTTGTTCCCAGTTTTATGAAGACCCGCCCATCTCGTTGTGGATTATGTCCGTTCCCGCTGGGTTTATTTTCAGAGCTGGTGTAAGCACGCTTGAATCAAGGTCCCAGGCGTCCTAGGAAGGAGTTCAGCGGGTCTGCCTCTATCCCTCAGCTGCCCTCCTCTGTGCCCGATGTATCCACCACACCTCACCACCGACTCACCCGACCTTGCTCAAACCTGTCCCCAAAGGACATGTCACAAGCGAGACCAGAGTTTCGACTCAACGGGAAAGATGTTGTCTTAATAACAAAAAGCACATTTAAGACAAAAGGCAACGCTGTTGAATTCTTTTAAAAGCACAGTTACTATGTATACCTCTCTGTTAAGGCTGAAGAAGGGAAGTCATCAGGGTAATTCTCTGAGCACCCGCTGAGATCAGGCCATACAAAATGTAGCTGTGCTTAGTTTCAAAGTTTCCCACCCAAATTTCCACTTCCTTCACTGACGACTTGCAATAACATTTCACGGAGTTCTGTTTCTGCTTTTCCTCGTAACAGCTCCTGGCAAATTCTCCCAACCCTCTTGTCAAACCCCAGAAGTAATTTTGCGTCTGGACTAAGCATCAGGGCCGTAGCTGTTTCTGTGGTCGCCCCCCACCCCCACCCCATGATGTTCATCCACTGAGAATAACGTCTTTCCTGAAAAATGGAAACGATTCCCTTCGGCCTAGGCTCGCCTCATTTCTCAATGGAGCTACAGTCCACAGACTTCCTTCTAAGACACAGAGCTAAGCCCATTCTTTTGTAGTCCTCAAACCTACCCAAAGGACAGGGCTAATTCCTGTTGCAGCCGCCCACGTCCTTTCTCAGCCCCACCTGAAGCGATGGGCGTGCATCTGGCAAGTGGCTACTCAAGCATTCTCGGCGTTGGGGCCTAACCGAACAAGAGACAAAAACTGCCGCTCTCGTGGGGGGTCACACCAGCGAAATAGCAAGTTGAGACTTGAAACATGGGAAAGTCACTCTCTAGAGAAGTCTATGTCATAAATGACTCATGGGAATCCCATCCTCCTCTCATTTTTTTTCTTTTTTTTACTTTGTCTTTTGTACTGTGTTCCTGACACTTTCCACGACACTCAGAATGGGTGGTTGTGGAGAGAGCTTTGGGAATCAGAATCTGTGACTTCTTTACTCTAAAGAGATTTTGTGCTATTTATCTCTACCTAAGATGTTATCATTCCTTTGTAACTAGTTTACGGAAAGGACCAGCATATGAGTGTGTGTGTGTGACACAGGGACACAGGAAGACATGGGCTGTATTCAGAGCATCACAGTTATGCTACTCCGTGGTTAATAAGAAGAGGGACTTTCAGTTTCTCTGTCTCAAACTTTGTGCATTTAGCTTTTGTAAGCAAAAACGTAAAAGGTGGGCAGGTGCACTCACAGAGTATGTGTTTGATCATGACCCCGATGTTACTGACTTTTTGGTCAACCAAAATTGCAAAACAAGAAGGGAAGGTCCTTCCTGTTAACATGAACTTTACATAAAGTGGAGATCCCGGATAGACCTTTAAATACGAAATCTGGTTATGTCTCAAGCTGAGAGCCTCCTGGACGGCCCACAGTATAATGTGGACACCAAAGCTCTGGTTAAAGCCAGGGTGGGCACGGGCTCGGAAGCGTGGCCCACCCCGGCACTCCTACGAGACCCGAGTGTCCCTGGGAGTACAGTTGGGAGGCTGCTCATTGAGGGCAAGTCCTCTTGTTCTTATCTGGAAGGAACTGAGACCCAAAGAGAGTAGGTTATTTGCTGAAAGTCCCCCAGCCTGTCAAAAGTCCAGCAGGGCCGAGACTCTGGCTCCTGTCACTCGTTCTTTCTACTGAGCTGTTTCTTCCCATAAAAATGTGAAGCCCCCCCCCCCGCCCATTGGCTCTCGTTAACCCAGTATTCAAAGACCAACATAAAAAATGAAAGGGCTTCCTATGCTGTGTGACCAAGTCTGTCTGAAGTCGTAGCCACCCACCTGGCGGTGTGGGAGCGCCATTGCCCTTGACTCTGAAGGCACGTTCTCGGGCTCTGCTCCCTGAGACACAGGGAGAGGCAGACCTTTGCCTGTGTGCCTGGAGGCTGGAGCAGGAGCTATGGTGGGAACAGTACAGGGAAGGGGACAGATTCCTGAGCCCTGTCACTCTCCGCTCTGGGTGGGGGCCCGAAGTAGTCTTGCCCTAGGAAGCCCCGTATAAAAGAGCCTTAATAAGATATATCAGTGTTCCCACTCACCACTCTGAAAATGGCTGTGGCATGCCGCCTCTCCTTACTAATGTCCACAAAGGATATCCTAAACCACAAGGCTCCAGGGGTGGGCCCCCAGGAAGGCTGGCCCTTGCTTCTCTTACTCTAAAGTTATGTCATTAGAAAAATTAATGTGCAGACACCAAGGTTGACCATACTTTTACTTCTGGCTCCCACCTGGGGAGGGAACCCTATCAAGGCTTTATATGGGGTCCGATACTTGAGGACTTCCCTGTCCTCTCCCTTGCCCCCGTCTTTTATCTTCTAACTCCGCCTCCAGGCTCTTTTGCCGTGGGATTTTGGCAGGAACAGAGTTATCTGACCTTGAAGGAGGGTAGCAGAGAGAGGCCGCTTGGGTTCACAGTCACTTACTTTAGCTCCTTTATCTAGGCAACTTCCTGATCTATCAGAACCACAGCCCACTTCCCCCACTGCCTGTCACTGATAGGGCCCTTGCCAGCTGCCCTGGTAATATTCCCAGCAAGCAGCCCTTGCCCTTATCCAGCCTCCGGGAGTGACTTGACCTGTTGAGCATTAACTCCTCACATTCTAGAAAACAAAAGCCACAAATGAAAGTTTGGTTTCTAGCATCCCCCTGTGCCAGAAAGACGGACACAGCACGTCACAGCAGTTCAGGACAATTTGTGAAATCTGTGACTCACATGAAATCTGCATTGTCCGTCTTTGCAGGAAGAAAGTGAGATCCCTGCCAGTGTGTTTGTGAACGAGCCGGCCTCCAGCCCCGCGGGAGAGAAGGGGCAGCTCGCTGATGGGCACAAGTCCCTGGAGGAAACCCTGCACACGGTGGACCTCTCATCGGATGACGAGCTTCCCCACGAGGAGGCCCTGGAAGACAGCGCGGAGGAAAAGGTAGAAGAAAGTAGGGCAGGGAAAATAAAACGATCTAGCCTCCGGAAAGTCGATAGCCTCAAGAAAGCGTTTTCTCGCCAGAACATCGAGAAAACAATGAACAAGCTGGGCACGAAGATCGTATCTGCCGAGAGGAGAGAGAAGATTAAGCAATCCCTCGCCCCCAGTCACCAGAAGACCTCTTCGGGGAAAAGCTCCCCCTTCAAGGTTTCCCCCCTCACCTTCGGGCGGAAGCAAGGCCGGGGGGGCGAGAGCCCGGCGGAGACGGACACCAAGTCCGCAGACGTGGCTGGCGGCGGCCGGAGACCCGCCGCGCGGGAAGAGGGTCTTTCCCACGTGTGCGCGTCCAGGGCCCCGCTGGAGGGAAAGAGCGCGGAGGGGCGCGCGGGACGGGCAGCCCCCCGGGGGGGCAACAGCCACTTGACCGTTGAGGAGGATGAAGAGGCGCCCTCGGTGGCCTCGGTGGCCGAGGAAGAGGCCCAGAAGGTTCACGACGAGGGCGGCGACCTGCTGACCTCGGAGGGCGCGGAGGACCCGGCGCGGCCTGCGGTGCTGCCCGTGGACCAGACGCCCTGAGCGCAGCCGCCGGCCCGCGGGACCCGTGAGGCCGGGGGCTGCGTTTCCAGTGTCCGATGCACAATCCCACATGCGCTCAAGCTGGACGCGGAACGACTTTACGTTTCGGGGGCGGGGGACACTCTTTAAGAAACGTGAAAGAGAAGGTCCGGTTGGTTATTCACTTACTAGAAGCCAGTGTCCGAAATGAAATTGCGGAAAATGAAGGAAAAAAACTGAAAGACTGTAAGTCAGCTAATAAAGGGAGATGAAGGAAAGCCAGGACTATCAGAGAAAGAAGACCCAGGAGAAGTTGGGAAGTAAGAGAAACCAGAAAGGAAGAATGCCAAAGAGAATGAAGGCAGAAAAATCTACGTGCTTAGGAAGAAAATATTTACAGTATTAACTCGAGTATTCCACTCCTTAAATAATAATTCTAACGAGCTTTATATATCCTGCAATAATAGCTTCTATCTCACAGTATTCCTACTTTCTAATATTTTCAAATAATATGAAAACATAGTTTACTGTGTTAAAGTTGCATTTTTCTTAAGAAATCAAAGACATTACAAATACTTCTCCAGGGAGGTTTAAAAAGATGTTGTCTCTTTAACATGAGAATGAACACAAATCTTCAAAATTCCATGTGCTGTCTTTTGGAGGAAGCTGGATCATACTATTCTTTCATGTTTTCCAAATTTGAAATAACCTTTACTCTCCAGATGATGTAACATAGGTCTAGAAAGTTGTTAAAATCAACAGGTTTGAGAAGGGAAGGATTCTGTTTTTCCTTTTTGTACATACGGCTAATTTCATCCCAGGTCATATTTTATTTATGTATTAATTTCACAGAATATTAATATGATTCTTCCAAAAGCATGCTAGTGTATAATGGGCACATTTATTCCGACAGAATAATTTTTACTACTGCCTAACATTATACTAAAATAGTGCTTTATCTATTTTTAATTACAGAATGCTAACGTTTTGAGAAAACTATTGAATTTTAGTTTAGAAACGGTTGTGCGAGGGAGCAAACACCCCACCTTTCGTACATACCACTCACCATATGTAATCTTACAAATAGAAGTAATCCACGACTGTATTAACAAACGACGCTTTGTGTTAGAGAAGGAAAGAAGGATTAACAGATGTATTAATGGCATAACCTATACAGCTCTGTCCTTGTTTGGCAATAATGTACCCCAAATATTAGATTGTTGAACTAACAATGGCTGTGTTAAAGAAGACTAAATAAACCAAAAAATAAAAAGTATATAACAATGTCAGTTTTTTTGGCAGAACAATTTTAGAACAAGCAAGAAGAATTGATTTTTAAACTCTCCCACAAACAGAGCTGTAACGTTCATCGTTTCCATCTTGATCTCCCCTATTAACTCTGCTTTCTTTTTCCCCTGATCTCATTTAGAAATCCAAGTCTCATTCTTCAAGTTTAACTTTCTTGACATCACTTTGCCAGCCTTGGAGAGCATCTGAATTTACCGCAGCAGCTTGATAAATTTGATAGTTCCATCTGCATTTTTATTGTTTTGTACCAGACCTTATAACGCCTTAAAGAGCCCTGCAAACATGGGTGTACTGAGTGTATGTGCAGTTCATTCTCGCGGATTAACCTTTGTCTGCGGAGGCACCGTGCACTTGGTAGAGGACTCCGTTCACTCCAGGCCCTGAGCTGGCCTATTTAACCTTTATGAAGTTGCTGTCACTTTTTGCAGCCAGAGTTGGGGGATCCAGAGTTAATGTACGGTGTATATTTTTCTTTCCAAAAATGCTTATGCTGTTTGTTCCTATAAACCATTTGCATGCTGGCGAAAAGTCACGCTTAAAGCTTTTTAGATTTTGTTGACATACATTTATTTTGTGTTCCCCATTTGAAGCATTAAAATTCTAAGTAATAAAACAGCGAATTAGGCCAGATAATTGTTGGAAAACACATACTGTAGGGATTAGAGAGAGCAGCAGTTGTGGAAATTGAAGCTGTTTATTCTATATCATTGTTGAGTTATTTGCACACTGGTGAGGCTGAAAAGTCCCCAAATTAGGTATGTCTTCCTTCTACCCACCCAATAACCCGTTCCTAACTTTATGTGCCTGGAGCTCAGGAACTAGATTAGTTTCCCCCCGAAGACGAGTTATACATTAATAAGCACTGAGATCCGTATCTCAGAAATATAATTCAGGAGTGAAGAAGCATCTCTTATACAGACCACAAATCTCACCGAAATATAGCAAAGATGTCACTTTACTACAAGATCTTATTTTTAATATATACAGACATACGTATTTCAACAGGAATATTTTCCTCTTTCCACTTAGGAATCTAGCATTTGGCTGAATTTCCTTTCATGCATGAAAATAAAAGCTCCATGCTAAGGCCACTTTTGCACAAAATAAAGATTTTTCATATTTATCGTATGATGAAAGCCCAAAATTTTCTGGTTTTAGCACTGTTCATGTGTTTCAGTCCCCTGTCAAGAGACGAGATGCTCCTTCCACGGACCAAACCGCTAGTGTAAGTAAAGGTTATAATGAAAGGCATTTCCGACATTAAGACACGAATGCCCAAGCCCAGTTAATTCTTGCTTGAAAGTTTGTTTACTGCCCTGCAGCTCAGATCTAAACGATTTTATAGCGGAGACTGGGAGTCTGAGGGACTGAGGTACACGCAGCAATCATGATTAACAGTTCCATAGCAACCGCAAGTCTTTTCCTAAAAACCAAGACTCCGACGCGGCTAAACAAGTTTCGGATGAAATTGGCATTGCGACCTTTGTATTCTGCTCGATCTGGGTGTCGAGATAAAGACTGCGGCAGCCAGGAGCTCATTCCTAAAGGGAACAGGCAGTAACTCACATTATTACATTACTACATCCTCTCTTTTTTGTTTTAACCACTGCATTACCCTATGGTATCTGAAACTCTAACAGTATTTCTAACTCTTCACCCAAACTGCCCCAATTAAGAAGCCACACCTTTAGCAAAATGACCTGATGGTCATACATGTGAAGACTTCCCACCACTTTGGGTCAGGCCATGTCCTACCACGCGCTGAGCACAAGTATCCTCTCATTTCAGATTTTATTTATTTATTTATTTATTTATTTATTTATTTATTTGAGAGAGAGAGAGAGCACGAGCAAGGGAGACGGGCTGAAAGAGAAGCCGGCTCCCTCCACTTGGGGCTCAACCCCAGGACCCTGAGATCACGACCTGAGCCAAAGGCAGAGGCTTAACCACCTGAGCCCCCCAGCAGCCCAGTATTCTCTCACTTAACCACACAAATCCTATTAGGAAAGTACTGCTTTTGCACCTGAGACCTTTGAGGTTAATTCGTACAACTAGCAAGATGGAGGGTTGGGGAGACTCTGCAGAGTTCTTAACGGCTCTCAGTTCTCACTCTTGTTAGAATTCAATTATTTTTCCTTTGACGTTCACCGACTTAAGACACATGCAAGTTTACATAACTACTGAACGTCAGAGCAGCGTCCAGCGCAGCCTGAGATCCATGCTACTGCCAAGACAGACCCCTAATGGTATCATCCGACTGTGCTTAGTTATGAATCACTTTATAAGCTCTCAGATGGCATAGTAGTGACTTCGTTTATCGTCCATATATGGCATCAGATACAGCTGCACTTTATAAATGATTTGGGTGCTTGTCACACCAAGGCTAGGAAAACACAGTCCCCAGTTCCCAGGGAGCCACAGAGAGACGATTATTCGGGTCTGCTGAGGCCACCCAGGGGCTCCCGAGCCTCACGGCATCACCCCTCATCAGTAGCTGCGGGGCTCACTGTGGGCATAGTTTAATAAGGGCGAGCTGTCAGCAAGGTGCTGGAATCAGCTCGCTCCAAGATGGCACAACAAGCCTGCCTCCGACTCAAGTAAAAGCAGGCATGTCCCTGTGTCATACTAGAGAAACTGCTCTCTCCTGCGGGACACATCCTCTCACAGGCTGAGAAAACGAGCAAACATCAGATCAACATGGGGGGGCGATGTCGGGGGGTGGGGCCGGAGATTGGGTGAATCTTGAGGACACAGAGACCAAGCCTCTGAGTACGATTCCTACAAAACCATCTTCTCAAGGAAAACAGGAGCCAGGTCAAGCGAATGCTGATGTCTCCATCTCTGTGGGCAAGCCATCAGAGACAACCTCCGGGCCAGCCCTCACTCGTCAAGGTGTACGCAGGCAGCGGCGTCTTCAGAGGCTTTGGCAGCGGTCACAAACCCGGACGCCTACAGGGCTCACACGGGAGCACAATTGTCCAAGATGGCGGCAGCCGCCAAAGCAAAGTTGTTAGGCGTGGGCATGGTGGGGCACCTTACAGTGCATCTGCCCGGAGGCAGTGCCTTTTTCTAATTCCCAAAAAGGGATGGTACCTTCTGGATGCCGCCCTGGATTGTGGTGAACCGACAGACATTACCCAATCCCAGTTGCCATCACTTCAACTTCTTTCAGGAAAGGCCAAAATTCGGATCTATTTTCTCATGAAAATCTCCTGCCTTTTTCTTTTTCGGCAACAAGCTCAAATCATTTTATAATGTTGCGTGAACCCATCCACTATCCACTGTCGGGATGTAGCCTAGGCACAGACCATCCGTTTCTGACTCCAGGTCCACAGGGATGAGGGCTCTTGGGTCCTCCTTCCCCAGCCAGGGGAACAGGCAGGAGAACAGAAAGCTGGTAACAGGACTGGATGTACCTTGAGAAAAAGCACAAAAACCTTCTTAGGGAAATAAGAAATACAAAAATACTCTCACCAGAACTTGTGAGAAAGTTTTTCTTGGGTGCCTGGGTGGCTCAGTGGGTTAAGTCTTTGCCTTCAGCTCAGGTCATGATCTCAGGGTCCTGGGATTGAGTCCCACATCAGGCTCTCTGCTCGGCAGGGAGCCTGCTTCCTCCTTCCTCTTTCTCTCTCTCTCTCTGCCTGCCTCTCTGCCTACTTGTGATCTCTCTCTGTCAAATAAATAAAATCTTTAAAAAAAAAAAAAAGGAAGTT